CTTTAAAGAGTAATCTCTCAACTTGGATAGAATATTTGTCAAATCTTGGATATGAGCCTCCTTAGTTCGTGAAAAAATTAAAATATCATCAATGTAAACAAAACAGCAAACATCCAAGTACTCACGCAAAACATGTTGAATAAAACGCTGAAATGTTGCCGGCGCATTAGCCAACCCAAATGGCATAACTTGATATTCATAAAGCCCCCACGGTGTACGAAAAGCAGTTTTCCATTCGTGACCTGGAGCAACCCGCAACAAATTAAAAGCCGCTTTCAAATCTATTTTTGAAAGAAATTTACAGCCGTGAAGATTGTTTAATAAGTGAGCGATTACTGGCAGAGGGTAAGAATCTCTTACAGTCATGTCATTAAGAAGACGATAATCAACACAAGGTCGATCCGCCTTACCTTCAACCTTCACATAAAATATAGGAGCCGCTGCAGGCGAGGAAGAAACTCGAATGAAACCTTTACTCAAATTCTCATCAATATATAATTTCAGTGCGTCACGCTCGGGTTTACTTAAATTATACATTCGCCCAAATGGAGGAGTAACACCTTCCTTTAAATTAACTTCGCAATCAAAACCTACACGGTGAGGAGGGAGAGTAGCTAAACTGTCTGTTACAAATACATCAGAAAACTCTTTTAACAAAAATCCCGCAGGAGAATCCTCAATAGAAGAAATAGAAACCTTTCCACCATCTATAACAATATTGTTGTTTACACCTCCAATAAAGGTATTGGTAGCTTTCAACCACGTGCTACCAAAGATAACATTAGAGGAAGAAAGCCGCGTAACATTCAAACAAACTGTTGTATTTAAAAATTTACCATTGATCAATGGAATGAGAATAAAAGCCTTGACGAATCCAACAACATCGCCTGTGATTGCGGAAGAACCATCGAATGACCTGATGGACAATGGCTGTTGTAAGGGAAGAATTCTTAAAGAATGCAGAGTAACAAAACGATCATCAATAAATGACGTCGAAGCTCCAGAATCTACTAAAACAGAAACTGAAATCAAACAATCCTGTCCGATGACTAATTTGCCATCGAAAACAGGACGGGTTGAAAATTTTGATGATTGAACTAAAAAAGACTGCTTACATTCATCGTATTCAGCTTCACAAATCTGTCGGTGAAACAGTATTTCACTAACCAACATTGGCTCAGAAGAAATGGAGTCAACATGTACCTCCGAGGGGCCTGGGCGCGAAGGTAACGGCGCCACCACCGGGGAAGGAGTATGTTGAACCCTTTTTTTGACAGCCGGACTCCCGACCGCTTCAGAGATCGATTCTCTTTTCCTGCTAGAATCGGCGTAACGAGATTGGTCGTGATCTGAAACCGAACGGTTGGCCTCGGAGCGAGAGTGCGTAGCATTACGACGATCCTCTTGTAATGCTCCTCCCCATGACTTCCAAATGGGAAGAACAGCCTCCTTATCCAACCAAGTACTGTCAGGATGAATGCAACCCCCAGCCTTAACATGAGCTCTATCAAAAGGTTCGGCGCAACGAAAACAGATCCTCTTCTTTGTGCATTCATCTCGCCAAAGAGACCAAGTAAAACCGACCTCGGCCAAAGCCGAATTGATATCCATGGGCACCGACTGAGATGGCTTTGCCGGAAGAGCCGCTGGAACCGCACGATATTCGACTCGAGGGGGGGGAACCTTGAAATTCTGTTGATTAATCTGAGAAACTTGACCAACGTCTTTCGCAAGACGAACCGCCACGCGTTGTTTCTCGGCGAGGGTCGTCAGATCTGACCACCAACCTCGAGTGATGCCCAGATGAATGATCTTGGGATTGATAGCCGCATCATAGTGTTCACACTTCGAGGCTTCCGACAAATCCACAGAAAAGAGAAGAGTATTGAATTGAATGTTGAAGTCCGCAATCAATTTGTTGCCTTGACGAAGAGCCATTAACGCCTTACGAGCGTCCTCTTCTTCTGTATGACTTGAAAAGGTCTCTTCTACAAGCAAAAGAAATGCCGTCGCGTCGATAAGCTCCGTAATAACAAAAGGATCTAAAGCTGAAGCCGTCTTAGTAGGCAGATCCTGTTCATGAGCGTTGCGCGTCAACAATCCGCGCCACCAACTGTAGGACGGGCATAGGTCACCCAAATTCCCTGAAGGAGTCTTGAAATACCCCGCGATCCAAACGATACGATCACGGTCGTCTGCGAAATGGTGAAGTAGTCGAGCAAAAGAATCCCTGATCGCCGAACAAAAACGGCGCGTCTTGGTAACCTCTCCTGAGAACGACAGATGAGCGTAATAGGGGGGGTCCGTCAACACCGTTGGAACTGCCGGGACCAATCGCCCTTCCAACGCAGCCAATCGACTATTGATGAGATATGTTGCTGAATCCACTGTGTTACGGACCTGCAAAAATTCTTTAGCGGTATGCGACTTGAGCTTGGGGATGTCACCAGTGAAAACAAGGAGTTGACTTAAGTCCTTAATGGTGGATTCATTACGTTGAATGGTTTCTTCATATTGACGACATTTAGATTCCAGAGTCGCGATGGCTTGAGAATGGGCCAAAATCGTATGGTCGCGATCTAACCCGTTGAATTGAAGACCGGAAAGCGCAGCTGAAACACCTTGGTCCGTATCATCGATGACCAATGGCTCCACATTTGCCAGGGATCTTGCGAGAGGGGAGGGCATCGGCGGAATTGGACGAGGAACAAAATCCGCAGGAGGGGGAGTTAAAGGAGGAAGTGAACGACGCGATGTATCCGAAACAAAAAAATTTGGGTTCGGACTGTTGAAGGGGGAGATGAGCGGATGGGTGGCGTGATGAGAAAAGAGGAGAGAGTTCGAATGGGCTGGAAACGCCATTCTGGAAGGTTGAGTTGGGGAAGAAGAGTCGGACATGAATATGAAATGAAATCGGGCGAGAGATTGGGGATTGAAGGAAGAGAAAAGGCGTTCGAGCGAAAGTTATAAGGACGAAAAAAGTTTTCTGAATCGACTCAAAAGGAAGCGAATATTGAAAAAAGATCTTATAAGAAGAACACCAGACTACTGAGAAAAAAATTTTGGAGTCTGAGTAGAAGATCGATATATAATTGTGAGGAGCCGCCTACAACTCTATTTTCTTAAATGACTATGAATAACTCCAAGAGGAGATATCGTCTATATTAAGAGTTGTAAGGGTAACTTATCTTTAAAGATAAGTTCTTGAAAGGGAACTTGAATGGTAAGGAAGAGTCTTTTGTTGAAACTGGAATTTTTATTTTAGTATCGACTAATGATGATGATGATAAAAGAACAAAAATATATCGATAAGGAAAAGAAAAGAAAAGGAGAAACTGGACAAAGATCACAATCATATATATACTAATGAAACAAAAAACTAATTAATAACGATCATTTACAACGCTATGACAAAGTAGTCATTATGAATAAATGACGTCAGACTAAAGAAATCATCAACGACTGGCTAGCGAATTCGATAATTTTACTGTGTCTTTTAACAATAAACTAACGAGAAAATTAAATCATTACAACGTTGGGATGGTATTACAACAGCGAAGACTCCTTTTCCCAATACTTCTCTTCCGGAAACCAACCCGGACCCTGTTGGAGAGGACCCTACTACTTATCTCTCTATTGTCGGTTCCTTATCTTATCTGGCTGTGGCGACACGACCAGATATATCTTTTTCTGTGAATTTTTTGGCACGTTCTTCATCTAACCCTTCAAAAGCTCACTGGAAGTTCTTGATGAACCTGCTTACCTTGGTACGACACGAGATCAAGCGTTATATCTGATGCCGAACATGAACTCTGGGGAGCTTTCTTGCTATGTGGATGCGAATTGGGGGGGGGCAAGACTGAATTTAGACGCTTGCTACCCTATGCATAACACGGGTAGATCACAGTTGCCAGGAAATAAGACTCACAATACCATGTTGACAGAGGATGTAAATATGTACTTACTTGATCCAAAAAACTTCAAGCCAACTGAGTCAGTAAGCCTAGGTGATGTTACAAGACCAGGTAGGCTTAGTCTTCCCGAGGACAGTGAGCTTTCGAGCTTAACTAACCCTCTCCGAGGAGGCGCGAAGCGTCTCCGGCGACCTCCTCGGAGGGACTTGTGTTAAGTTCAGTGAGCTACATGGTGGCATTTCCCCAACCGTCACCTGCAGGAACGTGCTGATTCGGAACATTGCAAGTCGTTTTGGCGAGCTGTCGCGCCGCGATGGTGGTTTACCAATTCGGAACAATGCAAGCCGTTCTGGCAAGCTGTTGTGCTGGGATAGCAGTTTACAATAGGGGTTCAAACTCCAGGGGTGCCTCTGTGTTTTGCCAATACCAGAGGCAGATCCTACTTCTCCAAGCCCCCCCCCCCCCCACCAAAGCCCAAGGCAAACATCTCCGAGCAATTGTGGCAAGTTAGTGGCAAGCTTAGACTGCTGCCCGGGTTGTGATTTGTTCAGCTTGGAGATCGTCTGGCCTGTTTGGGATGCAAACCGCATACTCAGGGCTCATCTCGCGTAAAAGTGTTAGCAATCGCTCACATTCAATCGGTGGGTGAGAGGGGGGGTGTTGTAGCATGGAGTAATCCTGATCCTAAGATTATCAGATCACTCCACACTACCATGTAATACTAGTAACCTAGGTATTACATCTCACCGAGAGCCTTGGCCCCCTGTAGTAGCATATATATAGTGTGTAACAAAATCAGTTGTATATTCTTTTTCTCTCATTGAAATATACTCTACTTTTGTCTGTCCTAGCTCTTTTACAAGTCCCACCGGCGAGCCATCGGCCCGATCACATATTACATTCTTCGTATGATGCGACGACTCTTTGCGACGAGGTTTGGTCTAAGCGGTCCAGCGCCCCATACGATCGAACCCGAGGAGAAAAAACGGCTTGACAGACAAACAGGTATAATAATTTCCTCCTCTCGTCCAAAACCCCGAAGCATCAAACTGAGTCCCTGATGTGAGATTTTCCAAAGACCTGATCATGAAGGAATTCGGGCGACTTGGGGAGTACAATTTCTGCTGGCGGACCGGTGCGCAGACCGAGGAGACCCCAATCGAACAACTCCGGTCGAAGAATACTCTCCGGTCTCGTTTGGACTCAGACCTTCTACCCTCAATCAATGAGCAATGCTCCAGACTAGCAGGATTACCACGCGACCCACCTCATGTGGGGCAAGACCCGGCCTTATATCTCAAGATCATCGCAGAGATTCAGGCCAATCTTCATCAGACTCTACCTCAAACGATTCAGACGATTAATGCACTCTTTCCCAACCCGATGCCCAAACCTGACGATGAGACGAACGACCAAGGATTCAATGAATTCAAAATCTATAGACTCTATCATCTCGAGGCATCTATTAGAACAGATTTGCAAGTCGGGCTCCTATCACTGTTTTCAGAGTTCCATCAATTTCTCCGCAATTTCAAGGACGGCGGGGACACTAATCCATGTCTCATCGAGTTTGCAGTCCGTGACATCAATCAAATAATCGACTGGGCCATCAAACTTTCAAGAGCTTCTGAATTAAGCGTGATATGGACTCTTTGGAAAAATGAGATCCCCGGGTGTGATGAAGAACTCGAGGGAATGTTAATTCAGATGGGCCCGACGAGGCTCTTGGATGGCGAACACGAAGCCCTCTTGAGTCCACCAGCCGTCGAACTCGGTACCTCACTCATCCCTGTCTTCAAATTATCAAGATTGTTTTTCAACAAATTATCTCAAGAAAGAGTGACGAAGGAAGATGTAGGATCGTTTACAGAGATGTCTTCTGCTCAGTTATCTACTTTGGATGGCTGGATTGAACAGATCTTTAGTTCGATTGCCAGCATGCATTTTTCAATCAAAAATGCTGATGAAGATGACCCTGTCAACACCAGTGCTGCTATCATAGACGAACTTGAAACACTCAAAGCGGTTTTCCGGTCTTATCAGCTTCTTATCGACAAGTATATTCTCCCCAATCTGTTTCCCAACTCTCTTGATCTCTCTTCTCGCGTTTGTTTCAAAGATTGGCTGGATAGCTGGACTACTTCTTTCTCGAAAGCTATTCATAACGCTATCCATGCTGCCAACACATACGAATCTTCAACCATTATTTCTTGATCCCCACTACTTTTTCAGCATCTTGTCTTTCTAAATAAGTAAATAAGTTATATTTGCAGTAGTATGGTCAGCTTCCTGTTGGTTTAGCAGTGACGTCTATGTGCGTACATAACCGGCTCCCTCTCTCACAGTCACAGCCCTCAACTGAGAGTCCAAGCAAAACTTCGCCGGCGCAGTGTCAAGTCAAAACTTCATTTTCTTACAAAAAAAGGTTCTGATCCAGTGCCAGCTCAAAGCCAGAGTAAGAGCTCATTCTGTACCCCAAATTATGTATGTTGTACTATATACATTAATCCAAGGGGGTTGATGAGTATACTTGGTGAAGCTACACATTTATTTAGGGTCTTGGTTAACGGTCTGCCTTTTTGCACACCAAAGATTTCCCCTGCACACAGTGCACTCCAAGGATTGTTGAAGTGCATGTACAGTAGTGCACTCCAGATTTGGAGTACATACACACCAAAAGGAGCAAAACTTGATGATTTTGGAGTACATGGTTGTGCACTCCAAAAAATCTCCCAAGAATCCTTGGAGTGCATACACATGCACTCCAGTGTTTTCCTAGGTATTTCAAGGAGTGCAAATCCTGCTCACTCCAAATTATTTGGAGTGCACAGAGCTTCACTCCAACAATTTGGAGTGCTTTCTTGGATCCCCAGGCTGATATCACACAAAATTCATGACATTTTCAATTCATGGCACTCAACATAAAAAAAATTATTTTGTGATTTTGGAAATCCATGAGGGCCTGGTCAACATATAGACAGAGATTTTTTTTAATTTTTGGAATCCACAATGAACTGGCTATAGATAGTCAGGCCCTTCTTGTCGGGTTGACACAAACCCGGCCCATTCTCCACCCTACCTGCAAGTGCGAGGGGCCACATCAGGTGATCGACTTGATCCTTGGGTTCTGGTCAATCCTGCAGTTGGTGACATGGGAGATGAGGTGGTAGACGAGGCTAATGGTCCATCAACTTGTTGGTTGAGGGGATTCTGATTGAGAAATACAGGATTCCATGGTCCGTGCCGGTTCAGGAATGGGTGACCAGCCGGATAGTCTTGCGGATTTATGTTGTAAAACTGGTTTGGAGGAACTTGTATAGAAGGCCTTCCGGATTGGTTTGTCTGATATTGTACCCCTTGTAGCTGTTCGGGACTCCAACTGCCGGTCAAAGGATGAGGAGTGGTGTCTGATCCAAAGAGTTGCATTGGAAATTGAGAACCGTCGGGAGAGTACCACTGTTGGTCTGGTGGAGAAGGGTCGTTTTTGTTCCTGCTGTAGCTATAGTAATGGGGGGGGATGCTGTTTGGATCTGGGGCCTGGTTCATCGCAGATGGTTTCTTGCCGATGTTTGACGGCAGCTCTGTGAAGGGTGGGTGTTCATATAAATTTCACCATAAGCCTGTGACGTCATCCTTTTACACAGACCGCACACAGACCTCTTGGCCGTTGAAAACATGTAAAATATTGAAAATTTAAAACTCAAATTGACCCTTGGAGCCGATTTGAGCTCTTTTTGAGAAAAAAACATAAGAATTAAATTTTGGGATTGAATTCAAAACAAACTCAAAAAGATCTCAAAACCGGTTTATAATTGGTGCCCTAGGCGACAAAAATTTAGTACCAGCAGAAGTAGTTTGTAGGGATCGGATTGAACCAGCTATCAGGGATTCCTTTGAATGTGTCGTTAACCAATTCTCTTTAGGAGACTTTTCTGATGAAATCGAGTTCGATAAACAGGAACAACTCGTAGCGGCGCTCACACAGACTACAGGTGATGCCTCTCTACCACGCACGTACAATCAGGCACTGAAAGACAAAAATGCCACGGGATGGATCCTCGCCATTAAGGAGGAGCTAGCCAATTTACAGGAACTGGAAGTATGGGATGTAAAACTTGTCCCTGACAACACTGGTGTGCTTGGTGCCCGATGGGTTTTTGCAAAAAAACTCAACAACAAAGGACAAGTGACTCGTTTTAAGGTGCGGTATGTGGCTAAAGGTTATTCTCAAATTGAGGGGGAACACTTTGGCAGCACCTTTGCACCTACAGCAACTTTCATATCTATGAGGTTAGGCCCCATTTATAAACAATATTTTGAAAATGTTTTGAAAATGTTTTGAAACACTTTTGAAATGTTTTTTTTTGAACTTAAAATAAAGCTTTTTGTATTTCAAATACTGTTCAAAATATTTTCAAAAGCTGGGAGTAGTTATAAACCCAGTCGGACAAGTGTGTTAATGAAAAAATTTGCATCGCTTGTATTGAGTCCACAAGCGGAGAGTCCACTCCTTGACAAGAGTCTGCATACACAATTATTCCGAAGCTCAACACCAAATGCTACCCGCCAATCACGTTGACGATGAGTCTCTTCTCCAAGGAGTAGCTCTCTGGCACTTCCGCTTTGTTCAACGATCTCAAGAGTGCAATACGGTTTATATTCGAGCCGGACGTGAGGTGTTCAAGCTTCTGGATCGCTGGGAACCATGGAAAGACAAACGAATACCTGCAACCAGGTTTGTCGAGCTCTTCCGTATGTCTCTGGCCGACTTCAACTGGTTCTCATGGGACAATCTACAGCAAGACCCACTTGGACTTGGCAAAACTTTGACTGTGGAAGCCCCAAGCTGCCGTTGGTCTTGACCATCTGGGGCATGGGAGTAGCTATGTAACGATCAAACGGTTTTCAACCGTTCTCTTTCAAAAGTTGTATGATCGAGGAGATAAATTTTCTGATTTCTCAAAACTCCTCGTTGAGGACTTTTGAAGCGCTTTTGAAGCAAAAAAAAAGTTCAAAATCAAAGCCAACTTTGAACTTCAAAATTCTTTCAAAAGTTTTTCAAAATAATTTCAAAATACTGTTTATAAATGGGGCCTTAATACTGACGATTGCCGCAAGAAACCGTTGGCCAGTACACTCATTCAACTTTGTGGCAGCCTACTTAAACTCCCCTATTGACGAGGAAATATGGGTTGAGGCACCCAAGGGTCTTGATGTCCCAAAGAACTTTGCTTGTCGGCTGAACAAAGCTCTTTACGGCACCAGACAAGCGGCGCGTTGTTGGTGGAAACACCTAAGCGGTATTCTCGAGTGTTGGAATTCAAACTCAACAGATAGAGAATTGGCTCTAAAGAGACCTGGAACCCAGAAAACAGAACACGCAGCAGTGATTGGTAAGCTACCTACACTAAATCATGCAATAAACCATCTAGGAGAAGCTAACCATAATGGGATGCACAGACCATGAGCTATCCACCAATGCGTCAGAGCACGTGATAGAAGCTGATGACTTCACCAATCCAAAGAGGAGGTGAGTTTGCAGTAAACAGACTATAAACAAGATAACACGCAAGCGACCACACAGGCTGACATCTGTCTACCTTAAAAGCAGCCTGCTTGAACGGTTATCAACTCCCATCGCAGCCACCTTGTCCAACAAGAACGCACCAAGAGAAACCATCGGTGAGCACTAGACTAAGAAGAATACCGTTAGACAAACTACTAACACAATACCTATTCTTTAGACAAACCAATCGCCACCGATACATCTAACAACCAAAGTACAAGACAACACCTTGAGATCAACAAAGGTAAGAAGAAAACTTGCTACAAACTAAACAAGATAAGAAACCGAGTCTGACTCAGAGTTATATTCTAAACAGAAGCAGATAGCACTGCGAAACAACGATTATAAACACAAAGAAAAGAACCGTGCTCTAAGACTTTAAATGTGAGACAAGTAATCTCTAGAAGCTACCGCTGAACGAGATAGAAACTAACACAGAACTCAAACTACGATAAACAGAATATTTCTTATTCCAATTCTCTCGTAATTCTTCTCTCATCTTCTCTCGTCTCAACAAATCTTCAATCAAAAGCCAGAGTACAAGTCTTGCTTGCTTCTAGGTATATAACCATTTCAGAATCATGTAATTTAGCATTTTCATTCAAACTCATTCTAATGCAAATACAATCTTCTAGTTGCTTGAATTCTATCATTGAGGGGCTTGGTTATCATTCTTTGCAGTACGACACCAGTGTCTATTGCTTAACTGGTGGAAAGAGTGAAGCTATTTGGATACACGTGGATGATGGTATTATCACTGGCCCGAGTGTAGAACAATTACAAGATCTGGAGAAGCAACTTAAGGATTTGATTAAAATCAAGTGGGCGGCAGGTCTGGACAACATTGTCGGTATCTCCATTCAAAGAAATGATGATGGATTTATTTTACGTCAACCAAACTTGACCAACAAGATTTTGAGTGAATGTTGGGTTGGTATTACAACAGCGAAGACTCCTTTTCCCAATACTTCTCTTCCGGAAACCAACCCGGACCCTGTTGGAGAGGACCCTACTACTTATCTCTCTATTGTCGGTTCCTTATCTTATCTGGCTGTGGCGACACGACCAGATATATCTTTTTCTGTGAATTTTTTGGCGCGTTTTTCATCTAACCCTTCAAAAGCTCACTGGAAGTTCTTGATGAACTTGATAGCTTACCTTGGTACGACACGAGATCAAGCGTTATATCTGATGCCGAACATGAACTCTGGGGAGCTTTCTTGCTATGTGGATGCGAATTGGGGGGGCGAGTTCTCTAGATCATCGCATGGGTTGATCATTTTTTGTTACGGGTGTCCGGTTGCTTGGGTGTCAAAAAGATTGGTAACGGTTGCTAGTTCGACAGCGCACGCTGAATAGATTGGTAACGGTTGCTAGTTCGACAGCGCACGCTGAATACATGGCCATGGGTATAGGTGTGAGGGAAGTGTTATGGATCAGAAATCTGTTACTGGATTTGACGGGTTCAATGTTTGTGGCGGATGTTTTCTGCGATATATTGAACTTAATTTAGTTCACTGATTCACTTTCTCTAATTTTAAGTCCGCATTTCTTTATTTTATCAGTGCGCCGCAGTTGTCGAAACCTAGTTGATCATGTACAAGTTCCTCACTTTATTGTATCGGTTCTTTTCTCAATCAACCAATTG